CCTTGAGACAGTTAAGAAAATAGCATACTAAAATACACTGCAGCCAATCACAGCCATTGATTTTGCTGGTGGGAATTGAAATCTCAAGGTCATCTGATCAGCCCATGCTGGCGAAACGTGAAAACCAAAATACGGCATTATCAAGCGAATTTTGGGGATCTAACATCCCCAACAAGAAATTATTGAGTTTCACTGAAATTATGAATTGATCAATGTAAACCACTGATGGAAACTTAGATGCACTGGATAGCTGTTTTATCTTTGTAGCAGAATCATCGGCAATGTGCATTCAGAGGTGGTAAAGAAAATATGTAGCTCAGGTGGATGATTGTGGTGGTGTTTGGTTCTCTGAGCTGGATGTTTCGGTTGTGGAGCTTTCATTGTTCTTCTGCTGAACAATATCGTCAGGACAAACTTCAGATAGAAGTGAAGCATTCCAGAAGAACGGCTATCCACGCAACCTCATTGAAAAAACATCAACCTAAATGATCAACAGAAGCGAAATCAGCACAGAAACAAACAAACGCATCATCCTACCATACATCAAAGATATATCGGAGCATACGGCACGACTACTGAAACCATTTGGAATAGGTGTGGCACACAAACCAACAGAATCACTTCGATCAATCCAATATATAGAACAAAGGCGAAATGACAAATGAAGAAAAACCAAATACCATCTACAAAATAAATTGCTCAGACTGTGACAAACACTACATAGGACAAAGTGGACGACCTCTTCAACTTCGTTTACGTGAACACCGATTAGCGGTCAAACGTCATGACAACGCTTCGCCTGTATCAATACACACCGACAATTATGGACATACATTCGATTGGAACAATCTGGAAATCCTGGGTAGGGAGAGGACAAAGAACGCTAGAGAATTATTAGAAGCTTGGCATTCAGGTCAGTCAGCAATCAACAAACAGACCGACATTGACCCGATTTATCAACCAATCAGGAGAATCATAGGCGACATAGAATCCAAGAACTGATCGTAAAGGGGATATAATCGAAACAAAAGTGCAAACAGAGATTTAAGGTCAACAGCAACTAATCAAGATCGGAGTCAACAGAACAAGCTACATGTAAAACGTGGAGAAATTCAAATACTTCACTTTCATCTGCAGTTTGTGCTGATGATGTTGTTCTGCAGGAGAACAATGAAAGCTCCACAACCAAAACATCCAGTTCAGAGTACCAAACACCATCATAATGTGCATTCACGATTCTGTTGATCAAATTAATTATAAACTGTGCTTATTAATAACCTAATTGATTCATTATTATGCTGTTGAATTTAATTGAGAAAAGAATCCTTGACCTAGGTTTTCCTGACTTTAACTGAATACCTCGACATAATGGTCGGGGTTGTCTACTAACGGACTGACTGACTGACTGACTGGCTGACCAAGGTTTTAAGTTAGTCTTGAAGGTCTATTTCCAATCTCCTGTTTCCCCCAATGGAGCATAGACCGCCCACCAGTTCCCTCCAACCAACTCTGTTCTGGGCTTCCCTCTCCAGTTCTGTCCAATGTTTGTTCATTCCTATCATATATTTTTTTCTATTTCTCGGCGTGATGTGTTCTTTGGCCTTCCTCTCTTCCTTTTGCCTTGAGGGTTCCATGTGAGGGCTTGTCTAGTGACGCAGTTAGGTGCTTTTCGTAGTGTGTGTCCTATCCACTTCCACCACTTCTTCCTGATTTTCTCCTCCACTGGAATCTGACTTGTTCTATCCCATAGTAGGATGTTGCTGATGGTGTCTTGCCAATGAATACGAACTATTTTGCGTAGACAACTGTTAATAAACACTTGTATCTTCTGGATGATGGCTATGGTAGTTCTTCAAGTTTCCTCTCCATACAGTAGAACTATCTTGACATTTGTATTGAAAATCCTGATTTTGGTTTTGGTTGAAAGTTGTTTGGAGTTCCAGGTATTTTTCAACTGTAGAAATGAAGCATTTGCTTTACCGATCCTCACCCTCACATCTCTAACGGATCCACCTTGGTTGTCGATGATGCTGCCAAGATATGTAAAGGTGTTAACGTCCTCGAAAGCATCTCCATCAAAAGTGATTCGGTTGGTGCATGTTGTATTGCATCGGAGAGTGTATGTTGAGACCTACTGCTGCAGAGGCTGCTGCTACACTGGTCGTCTTCTCTTGCATTTGTTGTTGCGTGTGCGATAGAAGAGCCAGGTCATCTGCGAAGTCCAGATATTGAAATATGTAAGTTTAAAAATTCCACGAAATACGTGTGAATTTCTTAAAGACTCACATATATGATAAGTCGTTTTGAAAAAGTTGAAGTTGAAGTCATCTCTTCAGCTAAACAATAATTTTTAACTTATCCAACTTATCTGACTTATACATTTTTCCTATATCAAAATGGATTATTCATGTCAGTATTTATTTGTTTTTACGAGTCGAATCTAATTCAAGCTCATTGATAATCTCGGTCAATATTTTTTATGTCTCGGGCTAAATAACTATTATCAATATTTTTGTGATATTTTGATTGATTACTTGAATTATACTATACTCTTGTATTCCACCCTACTTGTAAGCTTTTATTTGTCAGGAAAAAACTATTTTGGAATGTTTTACCTTTCCCAACTTACTGTTGTTTTATTAATGATCTGATTGCTTAATCCTTTTTCACTTATATAGTGAATGGTTATACACATACTGTGATTTTTTTATTCTGTCAATGTTATTATGATGTCCAGTGTACAAGATCTGAACTCGATACAAGTTAACCTCTAAATGATTAATTGGGCATGATGGTAAAAGTGTAAAGGGGGAATATATTTAGTTTAGTTACCGATTAATCTGAAAAAAATACTGTATGTCTATTCTACCTCTTGGGGAAAATGAATCTATTCCAGTCATATGCATTTGTCCTTCCGAAGGTCATTAAATGACCTTATCAATCGGCCACTTCTGATTGAATTATTCTTTTTCCCACATGGAACTCTAAGTAATAATTTTAATTTTCCTATTAATTCAGATATAATCGAAAATCATATTAGAAATCATCAATCGATCATTGTTAGAATACCATAAGAAACCTGGAAGTACTGTACGGTGTGGGACTCATCAGTAGTGCGCGTCCAGGACTCCTGCCCCAGGCAGGAAACGAACCCGTGACCCGTGCGCGATAGCCTTGTCGGGTGTAGGCAGTAACTACCAAAGACAAATGGGAGGATCGCGCAAAATCCCTAGATCAATCATAGTTAGACATTAACACTGTTAGATGCCGGCCCAGTGGTCTGATGGTTAGACGTTCGCGCACAATACCGAAGTACACAGGTCCGAATTTCGCGAGATGAAGGATTCTTTGATGCGCATTGCTGATGAGTTCTATATCAGGATGAAACGACTGTCCAGTGCTTCCACGTTTCTAATGGTGGTCTAACAATGATTTATTGATGATTTCGAATGTGTAAAAACACTAATCTCCGTAATTCAAATTGAAAAAATCCTATTTGTTTTATTCTGTCATTATTGAGGAACACGATTTTCTTCACTGATCTTTTAACAACAAATAACTTTTTTAAAAATTAAAGTAGTCTTGAAATTAAAGCCTGTTTTATATTTAAACATTTCAGCTTACGTTCTGTGTTCCAGTGGTCTGTAGTGATTAGCGACTTGAAATTCTGATTTGTTTCATGTGAAATGAACGTATCGTACATTTAAAAGGAATTCGCTCACTGTTTTTTGAGTTAGAAACATCTCTGCATGTGTTCACTACATTTGGTGTCGCTGCCTGCTCGAAGGAAGGATCTCCCGTGGCCGAAAGATTTGAAGGACGGAGATTCGCGGAGCTTCCTGGAGTAGTTTGAGGCCGCGGTGGAGCTGGTGTGTGTGAAGGGGCCCGAGGCGGAGTTGGCGGTGCTGGGGACGCTGCGGGAGTTGAGGCGTAGGCGGTATACGACAGCCTGGACGATGCCGCCGAGAAGACGGCGTGGGAGACGGTGACCGGGCGGCTGATGACGGAGTTCGATAGCCCAGTGGACGGGGAGGAGGCGCCGCAGAGGTTCCGGTTGGCGAGGCTGTCGACTGATGGTGACCCGTTGGTGCTGGCTGTGGAGCTCACGATGTTGCTGCGCCGTGCGCTTCCGAGTATGGATGGGGAGTCGGGGGCACAGTTGTTGGCGTCGCAATTTATCGAGAGTGTGCCTGCCGCCGTGTCCCAGTAGCGGAAACTAGTAAACGGTACACGTTGGATAGATGCCGTGCCCATTCCAGACCAGCGGGCAAGACCAGTGACCGAAGTGGTAATCTGGTATATTGTAGCGCGTCACGGAATACGGAATGTGATATTAACTGACCAGGGTCCCTGTTTTGAAAGACTATGAAGACAGCTTATTAAAAGGGGGGACGAGTGTGGTGTGAGCTACTTATAAGTAGTATATGGCGTGAGTGTCAACGCAATATCTGGCAGCAGAAGATGGTGGAAGATCAAGAAAGGAAGAGTTAGAACACATTGGAATTTGTAGGAAACGCATGAATAGTGACAATGGATTGATGTTTTGCAACAGGAACAGTCCAGTTCGATATGATGGACTGATTTTTGCAAATTACCGATTTACTATATGGTTTTCCGATTTTACTGAGTAACTCTGTAATTTTCGTTAGATGCGATTCGGTTGCCCCACCTGTGTTGTCGTTCACTATTGAACCCTTGACAATAAGTTCCTAACAGTCGATCAGTTCTCATTAGCATTCCGCAGTTGTGTCACTAATTAGAAATTAAAATTACAGATTCCTAATCTTCTCATCTGCATAAACCAGCTAGATAAGGAAGTGTATTGAAGTTGTGTTTACCGAAATAAAAAACTGTATAAAACAATCTCGAGGTAAAACAGTGCGAGGACAGAATGTCGAGTAGCAGCAGGATTGAGGAAAAAATTACTGTACGCAGGAACCCAGTAAGTAACATCTAATTTCTGAATAATAAATATTTTTTTTTATTTTTTCCTAATTTAGATATCAACTTCTTACACAAGATGATGATAATGATGGTGATACATTTGAATTAATTCAATTATCCAACGAATTTATCACTAGTCTTCCAACATTAGTACCGATTACTTCAAATAATCAACTATTGTATTCAAATTTCAATAATCTACCGTATCAAACACACAATGAACCGACATTCAATTATCAACAACAACAACAACAACAGCATCAATTGTCAACTTATCAAAATCGACCAGAACAATTATATTTAAAAGTTAGGAAAAAATTAGATTGGGAAACTAGACGTCATTATAAATTGCGATTGAATGCTGAAGATGGTGGACAGCCAGCATTTACCGGTGAAATGAGTTTAGAGGTTAGTTTGAACTGAAATTCCTGTTACGTTGTAACATGTTTTACTTAATTGCCTCTAGTGACCATGTAATTTGACTGAAATATGAAAGCATATTTTGGATTGCATCTTGTATAACTGATATGTTCGGCACTTAGGATGCTTGAGGCTATTACGAGTTTACCTTAGTCGATAAACGCGAACGAGACTTTTACCAGCTTCCAGGAAGGCTACCCTGAATCCCAGAATCGAAATAGAAGACTTTGTAGGCGTAGAAGTATATTCTACAAGCACCCAGCAATCCCAGTACAATCAAGCATACAACTCTCGTTTATTTATTCAACATAACAACGTCCTTGAGACAGTTAAGAAAATAGCATACTAAAATACACTGTAGCCAATCACAGCCATTGATTTTCCTGGTGGGAATTGAAATCTCAAGGTCATTTGATCAGCCCCTGCTGGCGAACGTGAAAACCAAAATACGGCATTATCAAGCGAATTTTGGGGATCTAACATCCCCAACACTCCTCCCCTTTTTAATAGCTTGTTCTCCTGGGGTCGACTTGCATCTTGACTATTGTTCGCCGCTCTCTGAGGGGATACCTTCGGGAACGAAGAACAGCTTGCTGCTGAGTTTCTTCTCGTGGCGGGGCTCTCGGTAGGTTGAAGGTATCAAGCAAGATGTCAAGGGGAAGGCTTTCTGCTCTTGATGGGCGATCTGGGGCTAGTCGTCTGCGTATCTGATTGCGATGACGTGACCATTTATCACCTCCTACCTCTACTTCGTACATAACTCGACCAACCCTTCTGACCACTCTCGCTTCTACCCAAGGACCATGGTTCGTTCTGTAGTCGCGGGCAAACACAGGGCATCCCACCTCGTAAGCGGATTGTCTTTGCTGCTTTGTCTCTACTGATGAGGGTGCATTGGTCGGATGCATCAGGCTGTGAATCGTTTTCAATCTTCTTCCCATCAGGATTTCAGCTGGGGACTTTTGCTCCGGTAACAGTTCATTTGGTTTTGTCCGATAGACGTTCAAAAAATTTTGTAACGTTTCGGCTGGCGTCCCCTCCCCTTTTGACTTGAGCAGTGCTCTTTTAAACGTATCCACAAACCTTTCCGCCTGCCCATTCGATTGCGGGTGGTATGGTGGCGAGCGTAAGTGTTTAATAGCTAGCCGTTGACAGAAATTCTGGAATTGGGAAGAGGTGAATTGAGAGCCATTGTCGGATACGATCACATCTGGTATGCCATTTCGTGAGAAAATTTCAGTTAGGAGCTGTATAGTCTTAGTTGTAGTGGGCGGCATAACGGGGCTGATTTCCGGCCATTTAGAAAAGGCGTCGACGACAATTAAATACATAGTTCCATTTATTGGGCCAGCGAAGTCGACATGTATCCTGAACCAAGGATGCTCAGGTTTGGGCCATGAAACCGGCGGAATTTTGGCATTCATCTTTGCCGCCTGCTGACACCGGATGCATTTTCCAACCAACGCTGTGACATGTTGATCCATGTGAGGCCAGTATGCATAACTCCTGGCTATGGACTTCATTCGTTTAATCCCAGGATGACCAAGATGGAACTGTCTCAGCACTTTTACACGAAGGGATTCTGGCACCACTACTCTTTCACCAAACATCAGACAATCGTTGACGATGCATAGTGACTCCCGCCGCTGATACAGTTGCTTCATGTCACCTTCAAACTTTTTCGACGGCCAACCGTTAGTGACATATTTCATCGTCATCTTGATGATGGGGTCGTTTCTAGAAGCATTTTGTATGTCTGTTGCAGACACCGGTAATGCGCGAACTGCGGTTGTCAGATAACATCCTGCGTGGTTCTTCGTATACGCTTCTGGGTCATGTCGTTGTGATACCAGGTTGCATATGGTATTTAGCGGGACATCAGCCAATTTTAGCTGGTCGAACCAATCTAAACCAAGTAAATTTAGATCAGCTGGCGTTATATAGCATACCCCAGTAAACGACGAATCTCGGAAAGCAACTTTACATTCCAATTGTCCTAACAGACGAAGATAATTACCACATGCTGTACGAGGCTTTTGTGTTGTGTGCTGCAGGCTTGGGCTATCCAATTTGGTCCAATTTTTGCGTGAGAAGATAGTGACATCAGATGCAGTATCTATTTGCATTCTACACAAATAACCGTTAATATTAAGAGTAATAAATTTCCTTTCACCTGGCGATGAGCTTTGGCAGGAAGATATTAGGCTCAATGCATTGGTGCTGAATCTAGGAACAGGCTTCTTAGCAGTTCTGGATCGGTTTGGCTTTTTCTGTAGGCAAAAGCCATCTTTATGACCGATGACTTTACACTTCCTGCATCTATGGTGCCTCAATAGGCAGTTCCGTACATAGTGCCATGAACCGCAGTGCCAGCAAGCAGAAGGTGGATTCATTTTGGGTTTTTGGGCCGAATTGGAATTTTTCTTTTCACTAATGGAATGCACGTATGATGAGAGGCCCTTGTTTTCGACCATGGAGGTATCATGCTTCAAGTTTACTAATCTCTGGCACTCTGCAGTTATTTCTTGAAGCGAGATGTTTGGGCACTGTTCAATTTTACTTAGGATTCTGGTTCTTATATCAGCATCGTCGGGAGATTGTAAGCTGCACACAAACACAAGGCACTTAAACTGATCTTCCGTCATTGATGATAATTTAAATCGTTCACATTCACGATTTACTAAGCCAGCATGCTTTACCCAGTCATCTTCATTTGACTTGATTATTTTGAGGCATTGATAACGAATATTAAAGAGAGATGACTGTTCAGAGAAGATTTGCGACAGCGTATCAATTGTAGCATCAAAAGAGAAATCTCGTGGGTTCTTTGGGAGGATGAAATTACTATAACGTTCGTGTTCGATTGTGCCGAGCTTTCTCAAAAGGATTCTGACTTTGGTGGCGTCATCAAGATTGTTGAGGTCGACCTTGAACAAATCCTCATACTTCTTAAACCAAGACTCGAAAGTCACACCAGCAAGGCCATCAAAATGAAATTCATGAATGGAATTAACTATCGAGTCTGTATGCGGATTATATGAATCATCGGCAAAACCTCTGTGATTCAAATTCATTTGTTTCATTAACAGCTCCAACATACGTTCCTGGAACTGTTCATATCGTTTACCTTGACGTTCCAGTAAAGATTCTAACTGTTCAAGATTAATTGACATTGTGAATTGTGAGGCCCGTCGCCACTGATATGTTCGGCACTTAGGATGCTTGAGGCTATTACGAGTTTACCTTAGTCGATAAACGCGAACGAGACTTTTACCAGCTTCCAGGAAGGCTACCCTGAATCCCAGAATCGAAATGGAAGACTTTGTAGGCGTAGAAGTATATTCTACAAGCACCCAGCAATCCCAGTACAATCAAGCATACAACTCTCGTTTATTTATACAACATAACAACGTCCTTGAGACAGTTAAGAAAATAGCATACTAAAATACACTGCAGCCAATCACAGCCATTGATTTTCCTGGTGGGAATTGAAATATCAAGGCCATTTGATCAGCCCATGCTGGCGAACGTGAAAACCAAAATACGGCATTATCAAGCGAATTTCGGGGATCTAACATCCCCAACAATAACCTAAGCTAACAATTGTTTATGAGACTACTGATAGTCATATTGTTCCGCATGCACATAAACATGTCATTTTGATAGGCTTGAACTATAGTATGAGTTTACCTTAGTTGGAATACGAGAGTGAAGATCCGGCGACACGATATGCTACTGAAATCCAATTATCCCAACCTCCATATTGAGTAAAATTAAGAAGACTTGATGTAAAGTAGAACCTGCGGATTTCTGCAAACAACCAGAAAGTATGAGGTCTGAGTCCAGAAGAGAATAAGGATCCCGGACTAAGGATCCGGATCATGAAACGTTACAAATAATGCGTATTGATAGATTAAAGTCGAATAGGAAACAGCACCGAAGTCTGTGACCTTGACAGTAAGGATGGCTAATGGGAAACATGCTGCATGTCCAACCAACCAGAAAGCACCTATTTTACCAGACAAGTGTACCGATCAGCATAAGTCAGAAGAACTAGAAAAGAGAAGAACAAAAGGAGAGGCCACCTGGTTATCCAATGTGATGTGTTTGCATTAAACATTTTGAACAATTTGGTCACAGACATACTTGTCAATGCATTATTTTATATGAAGATTAATAAAAGGTCAAATTGTTGGGAGCGTTAGATCCTCAGAATTCACTTGATAAATGTCATAGTATTGGATTTTATTCAAGGGCTGATCAAATGACTTTGATATCACATCTCCCATCAGGAAAATCCTTGACTGTGATTCGTAACTATGTTATTTTAGTATGCTTTTTTTATGACTCTCCTAAGGACGTTTCTATGATGTATAAATAAACGCAGTTAGTATGCTGAGATAATCGTGCTTTCTGGGTGTTTGTAGAATGCCCTTTCTACGTTATATCAATCAGATCAATCAGAATAGCCTACCGTGTCACTGGACCATTTGTCTTCGCTCTCGTTTACCGACTAAGGTGAACTCGTCATAGTTTTAAGCATATCAAGTGACAATCATAACACAATTCAATAAAAGTTCAAATAGGCATAAGATGATAATTGTGAAACTGAAGGAGAGAGAAAATTACTGTCATATGAAAAGAACAAGAAAGGATAGGAAATTTCCACGTTATCCTGGTCATCTTTAAGCCTAAGGGGTTAATGTGACAATTTCCTACTCCTTCTTATTCGTGTGATATTACATTAATTTTCTCTCTCCTTCAGTTTCACAATTATCATCTTGTCTATTCGAACTTTTCATTACGTGGTTGTGAAGATTGTTAAGTGACACATTTGAAATCATGAATCGATCAAAGTTCGGGTGTAGACAGTAGCTACCGAAGACAGTGTATGATGTTTCGCAACTTCGTGAATTGATCGAAGATAGACAGATAGCGGCTCAATGGTACAGATGTTAGTCGTTCGCTACTAAGACAAAAAGTCTTGAATTCGTATCCTTCGA